GCTCCAGATGAAACGTTAAGCCTCAAGATGGATGTTGCTCTGTCCCTATCACATCAACCCGCAGCCTGGAGCCTTTTGTGAGCCTCTTCCCCTCCTGCCTGGGGCCCAGGCACCTGCCTTGTAAACCCAGCTCGTGTGAAGGCAAAGGCTGGGAGATGGGGGGAGGAAGGAGACACCCCCCCCCAGGATGAAAGCTCCGGGTGCCGGGCGCCACCCCTGCTTTGCAGTTTTTTGACAGCTCCGGGTCCCGGGCGCACCCTCTGCTTTGAAGTGTGTCCGTGGCCTGCCAGGGCTGGGGGAGCTGCCGGGGGATCGGAGCCGTTGCAGCCTTCCCCTCCCCTCCACACCCTCCCTGGCCCATGTGGAGATGATTTGCTCGTGCTCGGAGAGACACGGGCTTGAACTCGGCTCGAACCTGCCTTGAAGCTTCCCCATCGCCGGCGCTGCCGAGCACAGACACGTCCTCCAAGTGCCCTCATGGGTCCCGGGACCCACCAGCATCAACCTGGTTCCTCCACCTGGTGAGAGGGTTGAGGAGGGGGTGACCAGCACATGGAGTCATGGAATGGGCTGGCTTGGAAAGGAGCTTAAGATCATCCAGGTCCAACCCCTGCCACGGGCAGGGACACCTCACACCAGACCATGTCGCCCAAGGCTCTGTCTTGAACACTGCCAGGGATGGAGCATTCACCACTTCTCCATTCAACCCATTCCAGGGCCTCACCACCTTCACAGGGAAGAGCTGCTTCCTTATCTCCAACCTGAACTTCTCCTGGTTCAGTTCGAACCCACCACTCCTTGTCCTATCGCATCCAGCATCGTCCCGTTGGGACCCGGGACCATTTTGGCCCATCCTCTGGGCTAGGGGGGGAGGAAAAGCCCAGAAGGGAGGTGAACACTGTGATGTGAATGGAATGGCTTGGAAAAGGGGGAATAGGAGCTGCCTTTCTGCATTAGGTGGAGCAAGGAGATTAAAGAAGTAGGTTCAGGCGATGGCTGGGATGCAGAGGGAGGGCAAAGGGGCCCAAAAGCCTTTTGTGCACCCAGAGAAGGAGTAGCTGAAGAGGCAGGGAGTGAAGCATTGACCCTCCCTGCCCAAATCCCGGGGACTGACCCACATCCAGCCCTTTGGCAGCTCTTCTGAGCGAGCTGGTTAATGTTTAAAGCCACGTGGGAGGGCTCCCCTCGGAGCAAAGGTAGGAGAAGCCCAGGACAAACCCCATTGCATTCCAGGGGCAGGAGTCAGCCCTAAAAGTGATGGAATTCACTTTGGAACCAGAAGGATTTGTTGGGTTTGTTAAAGTTTCTCTTTCCCCTTTGTGCCGTTTGGGGCATTTGGTGATAGAATCGTCAGAGCACTTCCTATTCCTGAGGACATGAAAACTGGAGCTTGAGATGTGTTTACAACTAAAACCCAGGGATACAAGGACAAAACAGTGCCCAGATGTGACTGGTTGCAAGGGCTGATGGTGGCTACTGCTTGTCAAATGGGGCTTCTAGTGGCTTGTCCATAGAATGGTTTGGGTTGGAAAGGACCTTAAGATCACCCAGTTCCAACCCCTCAAGCTTTGCTTTACCAAAGGACTGTGCCGGGCATCCCAGTCCTCTTGCTCTAAAGGCAGCAGGCAGAGTCCATCCTTGGCCATGGGCAGCTCCTTCATGTGCTGAGCAGTGGGGTCCCCCCCACGTCACATCTTCTCCTGCCCTCGCTCCCCACCGGGCTGGAGGCTGTAACGAGAAGTGAGCAGATCAATGAGGCTCATTGAGCAGGAGGTGATGGATGGAGCCCACGCACCCGGTAACAGCCCCTGCAGGTACCTCCATGAGTAGCACAACAGGAGATGAGGAGATGCAGGAGGTGGGAAGAGCCTTCAACTCCTTCCAGTTCCTCCGGGTTGGGTGATGGGGCTGAGTGTGGACACCCTTTGATAGCACCTACCAACTGCTCCTCCACAGGGCCCCCAAGGCTTCAGCAACCAACCCACTCCCAGAATCTCCTGCCTTTTTCCCGCATCCCAAAGATTCCCATCTTCCTCCTTGGTGGGTGGCTGAGCCCGTCTCCCGCCGGGAGCGGAGCCCGTCTGGTGATGAATGACATTCATTACACAGAGCTTCTCCCAGCCCAGGCCTCGCTGTTCCCTCGCGTTGCTTTGCTCCCAGGGCCCAGGAAATGAAGCACTAACTCCATAATCACTGTGCGATGAAGGAAATATGCAGATGTGCCTTGAGTGTGATTAAGGAACCAGCCACCACGTGCTGTCTGGTCCCTGGATTCGGTTCCATACAAGGGGGAGGAAGAACTTTGGACTTGGGTAATGAAATGTCATTTACTTTGATAGATTCTTTCTGGGTTTGGCTGCTTTCCCTTCCACGCTCTGTGTCCCAGGGCTCTGAGTCTCTCCTGGACCCCTCGTCACCAGCTTACATGCTATTCCCAGGCAGAATTGCCTCAGCTCCTTCAGTCCCATGATCATGGTCTAAGATGAGCTCTTCCTGCCTTCAAAACTCATTTGCTTTCTCTTCTGATGAGGAATCAGGTTATCATAGAATCATGGAACAGTTGGGCTGGAAAGGACCTTGAGATCATCCAGTTCCAACCCCCTGCCTTGAGCTAGACCATGTCACCCAAGTCTCTGTCCAGCCTGGCCTTGAACCAGGGGTGGAGCACTCACCACTTTTTGGGCCTCTGATCCAGCGCCTCAGCACCCTCACAGTAAAGAACTTCTTCCTTAGATCCAACCTGAAAGGAAAAGGAATATATGAACCCAAAAAGGCTCAGATATCAAAGTGAACAACAGTAAGTCAAGGTGTCATCTCCTCCCAAGCAGAGGACACTGATGCAGCTGGACGACTGAGTAGCTGTAAATGGTTCGGACCCTTGGCACTTGCAATCTAAGACGTTTCTTATCCCTTTCAGGTGACTTTACGGGCATGAAGCTTGTCCCAAGCCCCTCTCCAGGTTTCCTGGAGCCCCTTTAGGCGCTGGAGCTGCTCTAAGGTGTCCCCTTCAGGAGCCTTCTCTTCTCCAGCTGCCCCAGCCCAGCTCTCTCAGCCTGGCTCCAGAGCAGAGCTGCTCCAGCCCTCGCAGCAGCTCCGGGGCCTCCTCTGGCCTCCCCATCCCTCTGGCGTGTTGCTGCCCAGGACACGGTGGGGCTCAGGCTGGAAGCAGAGGTGAGGAGCAGGGGTTGCTGCAGCAGGACTAGAGCTCTGGGGGTTGATGCTGTCCCCATCCCAGCACTCCCATTCCCTTCTCCGTGCCTGGAATACCTGCAGCAGCGGGGTCTGGCTGGTACCTGCACTCACCGAGCACTGCAGCTCGCACGCTGCTCCATCCACTTCCCTAAAGCAGGGCTCTGTTATCGTGGAATAGCTTCATAGAATCGACTTGGCTGGAAAAGAGCTTGAAGATCACCAAGTCCACCCATTGCCCAGCACTGCCAAGGCCACCACTGACCCCTGGCGCTGAGGGCATCATCTCCACGGCTTCGGAAGGCGCCGAAGGGTGAGAGGCTGGTTGATGCTCCTGCTCCTGGGCGCAGCATCTCCCTGAG